TGGAAACAACATATACAGACAGAAAATGGACCTATAAGAAAATTGACCTATATATTCTTTAAGTATACTATTGATCTTTTCTAAAAAATAATTTGTCTCTCCAAATTTTTCTCCTTCCGTTATGCTTAAATCTATTTAGTTAGTCTTAGTTAGTATAGTGTGAACTGATAAATCCCTTGTGCCTACTGTACATGATTCAATTAATTCTACATCCACATCAACATAAAAAATAATCTAATCGATTGTACGATGGGAATCTACCTGAATAATATGTGTATGCTATTTTGTTGGATTAAGCATCCACCATGTATCTACTAATCCAAACTCTGAGATTGATGATGCTTTGTCTGCTCTATGTGCTTTGTTATTAGGAGTCTAGGCTTTATTGTCAGATTCAGAACTCCTCCCATTACTGTAAAAATTCAATTATTTCATACATTTAAGAAAGAGGCAGTGATTTATTCTATTTTCCCAACTTTCAAAACAAATCTGCCTTCCCTATAAATTATACAATTTTCCCTCCATGAAGTCAATATGTGGTTGTAGGATAATGGCTATTCCACTCTTTTTAGATCCATGTGAACTGGAGTAGTCCCTCGTCATTTTACCTCATTTGTCATGCTCCTTTTTCTTGAGGTCGTTTGTTGCAGGAAGACCACATCTCCTTTAGCCTTCTTCAACTGACCAAGAATCATCTTCCTCTTAATTTGATTATTTAGTCCATAAAAATTCAGTGAAAGAATTTGCCATACTAACAAATTAGATGTAGCTTACCTTATTTTGGCCTGGTTTGAGCATTATTTACACACAGAAAGTGGAGTGACAGCAAAAGGGTGGAGGGCAAATAAACAAACCAAAGAGCAAAACAAATCACCCATAATATCAACCAAAAGAGAAGAAAAATCTGCATATGTTCCATTTGTACCACAAAGAGATTTGATAGTGTTCCTCTGTGACCATTGTTCCAAACTGGTCCTTAAGGCGCCGATTTTTCTCGTTAAGCAGTAAATGTCTATATATTAAGCTTCTCGTTGACATCAATTCAGTATATAACCCACTCATTCCCCTACTTATATGGCCTTTGTATGTTTTTTAATTTTTTTTTACCAATTTGAAAGTGAAAGTGAAAGGTGGGGCTTTGTACCAGCTTTACAAAAGTAGATGTCCAGGGGACTTAGAGTTCCTTCAATATAACTTGATTTGGCCTACTTTACTTATCGCAACTCAACAATTTCCCCATCTAGGCTACAGATCTTTAATTTCTGGTTTTAAGGTCAGAGCTGATGAGGGGGTTAGGGAAGAATTATTGTTGGTGTTTTTGTAAACATCAAGTTTTTTTAAACCAATATAATACTTTTCATCTGTTTTTGATTTCAATTTATTCGTTTTATTTTCTTGTTAATATGTTTAGGCGCATTTTGGGAGGCCGACAGGAAATAAATTGAAACCACCTAAATTTTTCAATTACGTCTGTGTTTTCACATCTTTTTGAGTTTTCATGAAAGCCCCGCCACATATGGTGTCAGAAGTGGGATTAGATGATTAGATTCAACTTTATTGTCATTGTACAGAGTACAGGTACTGAGACAACGAAATGCAGTTTAGCATCTAACCAGAAGTGCAAAATAGCAATAAAAGTGCAGAGTATGTGCATATGTAAAGTGGAATAATTGTATAAATAAGATATATACAGTAAGAGTTGGGTATGAAAAAAAGAACAGAATTGGGACTAGCAGCAATTGAGGTAGGAAGTGTAGATAGATGTGAAATATATAAATGTGAAATATATAAAGTGCAGGTGTAAGTATTAGTGGTGGTAATAAGTAAAAAGAAGTGAATGAGGTATTAGTAATATAATGATTAGTAAGTGGTGTAAGTACGGTTAGTACAGTAAAACAGTAAAACAGCAAAATAGTATTCTAAGTACAGGTAATACAGTTAAGAGTTGGGTAAACAGTAAAGTGTGATAAAAAAGACATTCTTGTGCAAATGTTCAATGTGCAAATGTTCAGTGGTTGTCACTTGTGTGGCAGTCAAGCCAGGGTGAGGGTGGGGGTGGGGGTGGGGGGTGGGGGGGTACAGTGCACATGATTAGTGGCTGGAGAGGTGTGCGGCAGTCAGCCAGGGGGGAAGTGGGAGGTATAGTCTCAGGGGTGGGGGGGGGCTATCTCCGTGGAGCAGAGTTCAGTAGGGTGACAGCCACAGGGATGAAGCTGTTCTTGAGCCTGCTCGTACGGGAACGGAGGACCCTGTAGCGCCTCCCAGAGGGGAGGAGAGCAAACAGTCTGTGGCTGGGGTGTGAGCTGTCCTTGGTGATGCTGCGTGCCCTCCGCAGACATCTCTTGCTCTGGACAGCCTCAATGGTGGGAAGAGTGGAATCGGTGATGCGTTGGGCAGTTTTCACCACCCTCTGCAGTCTTTTTCGGTCGGCGACAGAGCAGCTGCTATACCATGTTGAGATGCAGTTAGTGAGAATGCTCTCAATGGTACAGCGGTAGAAATTCTCCAGAATCTGAGGAGACAGATGGGCCTTCTTCAGTCTCCTCAGGAAAAAGAGACGCTGCTGTGCCTTCTTGACTATTGATGAGGTGTTAAGGGTCCAAGAGAGGTCCTCAGAGATGTGGACACCCAGGAACTTGAAGCTGGAAACACACTCAACCTCCATCCCGTTGATATGGATGGGGGGGTGTGCGCCATCTTTCTTCCTGAAATCCACAATAAGCTCTTTGGTCTTCATGGTGTTGAGGGCCAGGTTGTTGTCAGCGCACCACAGCGCCAGGTGCTGGACCTCTTCTCTGTAGGYCGACTCATCGTTGTCGCTGATGAGGCCAATCACCGTTGTATCGTCTGCAAACTTGACAATGGTGTTGGAACCATGTACAGGTATGCAGTCGTGGGTGAAGAGGGAGTAGAGAAGAGGACTTAGCACGCAGCCCTGTGGCACGCCTGTGTTCAGGGTGAGGGTTGAGGAGGTGTGGTTCTCTAACCTAACAGACTGGGGTCTGTTGGTTAGGAARTCCAGTAACCAGTTACAGAGGGAGGGGTTGATACCCAGGTGACTGAGTTTCATGATCAGTTTGGAGGGGATGACAGTGTTGAAGGCTGAACTGAAGTCAATGAACAGCATCCTCACATAGCTGTTTTTATTGTCCAGGTGAGAAAGGGCTGT